ATTTTCATATAAAATAATGGCGTTTTTTATTGTATTTTGACAATGAACACACCGCAAAACAGTTATACAGCATAGTTCAAGACAATGTGGGCAAATAGATGAAGAAACACATTGAAACGTTAAGAAAAACAGGGCTGAACACAACACAGCGCTCCCCTTCCACCACACACAGGTCTCACAGAACAGGAGACAAACAGACGAGCCAGAATGCTTTTACATATCTTGAAATAATAATGTCTGAACATTGAAATAACAGATTGGAGATTAAAATAATAGCAGATTTGTCTCGTTTAAAAATAAACACTAAAAACTGAGATGAAAAAATACATTTAGCAGTAAATTTACTTCCTATGATTAAATAAATGTGTTGATAATACAGTAAGTTTTGTCATGCTAGAATAGTATTGGAACTTTCAAACCATGTATGTTACAAACCAACCATTAGGTTGTGCTCTACTCACCTCTACATTAAAGTTGGCATGAAACCGAATTTGCGATTGTCTTTTCTTCTCTATTGTGACATAAAGACCGATTTGGAATCAACGTCACGGTTACATCACTGCAGTTGTGCGCGCATTGTGGTAATAATATTTAGGCCCATAACTAGAGAAAAATATTTACATACCATCCAAAATGATTAGAGATAACGTTTTTTTTCACCATCTATGATATTTTTCGATAAAAAACTTTGATAACAAATATGATACAAGCATAATTCTGTTTAAGAATTAATTATGACATGACATGCTTGTAATTTAAAAAATATATATTATGCCTTATTGATTAATAACAATTAACAATGTCGCAAAACATACATACAATCAGGGCTTGACATTAACACCCGCCAACCCGCCAAATGCGGGTGCATTTCACCCGTGGCGGGTAACACAGTCACTCTCACTAGCCACTTTGGCGTGTTGAAGATTTGTAGTCTTGTCAAAGGACATCTGACATAACAAACGAATTGCAATTTGACACTATGCCACTACCACTCCCATGAGTACCACCTGCACATAGTTTAGTGTTTGCTCATTGGTCCATTCGTGAATCCTCTTGAACGACAACACTGCAAACAAGAAGACACGCGGAGATTAAACTCGCGGACTGTGCGGCGGACTGTGCGACGAACTGGGCTGTTTTAGTCTGCCCTTAATTATCAACTTAATGTGGTGATATAGCGATCTTTTTTTAATAGCAGGAGAATCCAGACCACCGGCGTGTCTCACGCTCTCCTGCAGTGCCGCTGCGCGAGGGTGCGCGCGCCAAACAAACGATCATCACACGCGACTGGTCGCATACACACACACATCAACACAGCGTTCAGTCAGTTCGTGAGTGTGCATGGCCGGTATTAAAGCAAAAATCATCTTCATGATTAAGGGCCACGGTGTAGGCCTAACTACTAGCAGGGCTGCCCTTATGTCACGTCATATCACAACTATCTTTCCAGAGTTAATTCTATGTTTTAATAAAATTAATCATGCCATGAAAGAAAGCAGGAGATGCGCTTGTGGGAATAATCTGGAAAATAAAGACCTGTAGGCCTATACTTGTTTCAGGTGGACATATCTCCAGTTACTCAGAGCTTCATGATGATAATTATTAAGTCAGAGCTCTGAGGAAAAGCTGATGCAAAACAAACAATCCAAAGTCCTATATAGTCCTATATAGCCTATATAAAGTTGTAATCCTGGTGCTTTAATTGTGGATTTTTTCTTTAAAATTATTATTTATTCTTTGCTCGTTGTTTCTAATGCAGATAATTGTTCTACTCTGTATTGCAGTATTTACTGCTGTAAAACAAAAAACAAACAAACAATGCAGCACTTTTATTATATACAATAAGAAGCTATTTTATGTGTGTATCTTAGACAACATGTTATCAAAAAAGGAGCTTAACAACCTTATCAGAGCTAATGATAATATTAGTTCATTTTAGCACGTTTTCAGCCCCATTGTCAATTTTAATCATATAAAACGTACAACAACAAAACTGTGGCTAGTAAAAATGCTGCGTGGCTAGTCATTTTGGAAAACCACTAGCCACATTGGCTAGTGAGCAAAAAAGTTAAGGTCAAGCGCTGCATACAATTTATTTTAGTTAAACTATATAAATAATCAGGATAAAAATAAAATATTATTAAAGTTTGATTGATTACATTAAGAATCGTGAGAACAGCTTTAGATCAGGCATAGGCCTACTACTGGGGTCCTAAGCTAAGCTGGGACTCATCACTTCACCACACTGGTTGGCCTACAAAGTGATAGCTGGTCCTTCCCTCACGCCGGTGAACACGTCATCATCAGAGAAGAGATGATGTATGATTAGGCTTGTTTGAGAAGATAAAAATCTGCGCAAAACCGATCAACGGTGATCACCGCAAGATGCATGCTGGTTACAAATGTGTCCAAATTCGGTCCGACTTGCTCTGATATCATGCTTATGTATGTCAAAAAATCCTCGCGACCGCAAGGCGGACGTGTCGGATTCCGCAGCCGAGCACAGTTGCTCTCTCCACCGACTGCGCTGATCAAAAGCATGATGGGAAATGACTTGCTGACGACACAGCTTAATGCTCATTGGTTTAAACGACCGTAATGAATTGTTCTCTTTTAAAATGTTTGATTTTAAAACTCTGATATCATGTTTTTATGTCTATAAATTATGAAAGGATAATAAAATATATTTATAAAAAAAATATATAAAACATGTCCGTAGGCTAATTAAAGTAAAATGATTGATAAACACGTCTTTGGTATGTAATTAAATAACAAGTACTTTGGGGGTCTTGTTCATTATATTTATTTTCATATAAAAGCAACAGAACTTTAAGGGTTAGTTCACCCAAAAATGAAAATTCTGTCAGTAATTACTCACCCTCATGTTGTTCCAACCCCGTAAGACTTTCGTTCATCTTCGGAACACAAATTAATATATTTTTGATTAAATCGGAGAGCTGTCTCATTCCTCCATAGGCTTCTATGTTATTGAAACTTGCCGGCCCAGAAAAGTTAGTAAACATCGTTAAAATAGTCCAAGTGACTACTGGCTCAACCATAAGTTTATCAAGCGACGAGAATACTTTATGTGTGCAAAAAAAAAAAAGAAAAAAAAAGACTTTATTCAACTATTCATTTTCTTCTCTGTGGGCCTCTGACGTGAGTTCACGTAGTGTAACAGCGCAGCGCTTCTGTGTTGTACGTCAGAATGTAGGCTCACTATTGGCCAACGCTGGTCATGTGTGTGATGCATGTGCGCCAATTTTGGGGTGAATTAACCCTTTAAATTATACATCCAGTTTATTAGCAACACCGTGCACGAGCGTGAATCCTGCGATATCCACCTTTGATCTCATAGGTGTCTGATCCACTCATAGATAGTAAAAGAAATGGACACATCGACCCCATAGACTTCAAGTCAATTAGAAGCACTCACTTCCTGATGGCTGAGCGTACTGCGCAGGCTCAAACTGAGCTTGACGACGAGCAACCTGTCTGACAGTTGTAAGTCTTCTAGTAGCTGTGCCAAGAGGAATCTGAATCATTCCCTTCCGAATCTTACGGAGACGGAGAGCGTGAGTAGGAGCTGTCCATGAGGTAGCAGCAGTATCAACTTTATGACTCTCTATGGGCTTCTCCCTTGACTTTATCGGACGTTATGCCCCCACGTCCACCCGATTGCCTGCGAGCTTCTCCTCCTGTCTATACGGTAAATTTCTCTACTGTGAGACAGAGAGTCGCGTGGTTATGACGCAATTGTTAGCCTATTTTTACAAAAACTGCTTCTACGGGGCCATAACGTAAGATACACGGTAATGGAGCCTTTTATACATTGTCGTGTTTCTTTAGAAATAAACAATGGAGTCTTTAAACGACTCAGATGTAAAGTTATTCACTGTCAGAGTGACGCCAAAATGAATGGGAGTCAATGGAATGCTAACAGCAGGTGAAGGCTTGCTAACCAATGGCGGCCTCCAGGGAGGCTTCAGTTTCCGACTGATGGATTACCCCCTTGGATCCACTGCGAGAAGAGAGAAGTTCAGTGAACTAGGCTGCGTTCCAGTTGTCATGCCCTTCACTCACTAACTTCCCTCCGTCTTGTTCATTTGGATGTACGTCATTGCTTACGTTGAATGAGTGCCCACTACTGGCGGAACCTTTGCAATAGGCTGAATTGGAACGTGCTAAGCCCTTGATCACTTAGAATCCACCATGGGGTTGATTTATGATTTTTTTTCCCCTTACGAAATCGTTTAATGCAGCATTCTATATGTAGCTATATAGGTGTGTTTGAGTTGTTTTTTGATTTTTAATAATTAATATATAATAGAGTTGTTTGTGGTGGGGTAAATTAAACGCAATATGGCATCACAATCGTGTTGCATTGTGGTATATATGGAGCTGCCTGAAGTGTACATTGTGAAGTAGACTCGCTCCCTCTGTCAAAATAGAGAGAGAAAGGATCAGTCCATATAAACTTCCCTTGTCCACTTCACAAAGTGAAACGCACTTCAAAATGGCGGCTGGGATTCCCCTGAGGAGAAGTGCTTAGGGAAGTTCGCTAGTGTGTGTCTAAAAGTGGACTGGAACGCAGCCCTGTCCATCTTGCCTGCACTTCACTCCTCCCCTCACTGCAGCCGCCTACTCTCGCCTACATTTCAGGTGAGGCAAGGTGCATCTCAGACAAGCTGCTGCATGTGGGAGGGAAAGTTATTTTGATTGTTTACAATGGAACATGTATAATAATAAAAAAGATGTGCACAGATAAATCCTTTATAAGAAATACTGCAATATTCCATGAAAAATAAGTGGTAAATTTTGACTTCATGGTGACTTTTTAAGTTGAATCTGTTAGGCCTACCTCATTGCTACTGTCTTTTCGTAAGCACACTGTTGCACTGTTTAGCCAGATGATGGCACTGCAGTGCTGCATTGTGTAAATCACGTGAGAGAATGTGAAACAGATACTGCTGTATTTTCTTGAAAATGAAAGTAAATCCAGGCGTATTGGGCGTATTGCTCTGTTAAAAGTCCGTCACCACTCTGATCCACGGGACATGAGGAAGTAGATTACCTACCAGACGTACATCAGACGAGCGAAAGAGTTTCTTTAGCATCTCAACAACATGTCCACTTTAAATGGTATGTTCACAATTTTTTATTTTGATCTTCAAGAAATGCTAATGATTCGCGTGAATGTAGATCTAAGAAAAGTAACACCAAATGACTTAGTCTTGTATTTTCTAGTGAGAGTGACTCCGGATTTGCTTTATCATAGTAGTCATGTCATGTAACATATCGTGCTTTATCAATGTATCATTATAGTGGATATAATAATTGCTAATCTTGTCAAACTCACGTTGAGTTTGAATTATTTGTTCTGTTTAGAATGAAAACACTCTTTTATTATTCATGTTGAAATATGTATGCCTTGCTTCTCCAAGTCATCTGACGATGTTATGTTGTTGTTGGTTATTAAATAATAATAAGCATAAAATTACACACTTTGTTGTGTGTGTGTGTGTGCGTGTGTATAACATTAACAATGATATTCCCATAGGAAATCAAAATGGCAAAAAGGACTATGACTTTTCTGGAAAGAAGCTCAAAACACTTCCCACTGAGCTATGCAAGAGTGGTGGAGATGCTGTCAAGGTGGATCTACAGCGTAACAGACTCAAACAAATCCCTGGCATCTCGCAACTGACAAACCTGAAAGAGCTTAACCTGAGCAATAATGTGATCACTGATTTCCCCATGGAGATTATTGGGTTACACCAATTGGAGAAACTTTATATGAATCAGAACAGTCTCAAAACCATTCCAGAAAATGTATTTCCATCTTTGGGGAAACTTCGATTCTTAAAGTTAAGCACCAATCGGCTTGAAAAGCTACCCATCGATGTGAACAGCTGCCAAGATCTCACCTATCTGAACCTGTCCAACAACTGCCTGAAGAATTTGGATCCTATTGTGGATCTTTCACACCTTAAAGAACTGTATGTCGAGAGGAACCAGTTGTCTGAGCTACCAGAAAAGCTCTTTCAAAACAATAGTTTAACTCTGTTCAAAGCTAATGGCAACCCTCTTAGAAAGCCACCTGTGGAGGTCTGTGCTGGGGGATTGAAAGATATCAAGAGTTACTTTTCAATGCTTGAGGAAAACGCCCCACATGTTTACACTGTGAAGACCATGTTTCTGGGGAACTCCATGGCAGGGAAATCCACTCTGTGCCGCAGTCTGGAGAAGGGTTGCCCTGTACCAGTGGAAGAGGCTGATCGTACTGTAGGGATCGATATCAGTGAAGTTAATAGAGATGGCATCCGTTTCTGCTTTTGGGACTTTGCTGGACAAGAGGAATACTACATCACCCATCATGTTTTTATAACACCTCAAGCCTTTGTCATACTTGCCATCAACCTTTCCAGGTAAAGCATACATTTTTTTATTTTTCTACTGCTAGATCAAACGGTTCAATTTACTCTCACCACTAAACACACTATGCAAGTCATTGAAAATTCATTATTTTATTAGCAAGAATCACTTATTACTTTTGCTTGTCCTTTTAAATTGTTTGTGTGACGGGCACAAATGATTTTTTGGCTTTAGGAAGGATTACTTTTCTAAACAATCAGATGTGTGATCTCTGCATTGTGGACAATAAAATAGGCAAAACCAAAATATTATAGAGGATTCCTTCAGACACAATTAACAATCATTTAACTCCTCTCACATTTTTACAATTAATTTTTTTATTGTGAATCTTCACATAGGCTATTTGACATATATTTTTTTAAAGTGGTCCTATTATGCTTTTTCACGTTTTCAGCTTTAGTGTGTAATGTTGAGCATAAAAAAGATCTGCAAGGCTACAAAGCTCAAAGTCCACTCCAAAGGGAGATATTTTATTGAACAGAATCCCCTTTTCAAGAACTACAACGAACGACTTGTTTGGACTACAATGCGATTTTTCCGGATCTTATGAAGTCACAATGTTACTCATTAAAGTAATCCCACCCACAGAAAATGCAAAAAAGCGGACAAGGCCTGGTTCATTAGAAAAGAAAATGTTGTCGCTATGTTGAGGAGACGCTGTTTTTTCCACCCCATTTCCAAAACTGATTTGTTTGACCTTCCTAAGGCTGACAAACTTGGAGTGGTTAAAATGTATTTTAAACACTGTCCCTGAACATAATAACCCCAAAATTTGTCTGTGCCGCTGGCTGCTCATTTTACGGAAAACGGCTTCCAGAAGAGAGTAGATTGCAGGTTAGGCACAAAAGCTTCTCCTGAAACAGATCATTTTCCACTTTGTCAGGACAATCTGTTATTTTTGGATCACTTGTATGTCTTATTATTTGTAGTTTGTAGTACTATTAACAGTTCCAATTATAAGTTTTATGTAGTTGCTATGATGTAAACAAAGGGCAAAGCTCACCTGCTAGTCAACATTAGTGTTGACTTAGTGTTTAGTACTGTAGCTTTTGTAAGGTCTCGCTTTTGTAAGACTGTTCACCACCCCTTAGAAAAATCAACCATGGTTGTGTTATTCAATTACTGTTTGTATTACCATAGTTTTCCGACAAGTATCATGATTAAATGGTGTATAACTTTGTATTTAATATGTCTAAGAATATACACTCTGAAATGCCCTGTGAAATCTTGCAAAATCTGTTCTGCACGATCCTCTTGTTTATTAACATGCTTAAGTCTGAATCAGGCTTGAATTGGTTAGAAATTGACAGCATCCTTAATATTTAAATCTGAGTAGAGCTCGCTATTATGGCAAGGGGGGAGGGGGGGGGGGGGGATATTATAAATATCAGGGGGATATTTCCTGAACGTGCTAAGCGGTGCCAACCACAACACACTGGGCTGGCTAACCAATCACAGCACATTTCGTATTTCGGAATGAGGGGCTTTATCAAAACAGGAAATAAACAACGTGTTCAGGCCAGACTGAGGAGAGAAGTGCTGTGTAATAATATGTGAAAAATAATGTATGTTTTGAATAATCAAGCATGAAAACTTATTCTAGTACACCCCCCCCAAAAAAAATCAAGACTTCGTAAAAGGGCATAATGGACCCATTTAAGATTAACTTTAAGTAAAAAAAAACTTTATTTAGATACATTAATTAATCTATATATTTATTCATTTATTTTAGTTACAATATGGATGACCAGAGTTTCAAAGAGAACGTGGACTTCTGGATCAAAAATCTACAGCTTAAGATACCAGACTCAGTGGTCCTGCTTGTAGGCACTCATGTTGACCAGTGCACAAGTGCTCAGGTGAATGAAAAGAAAAAACACATCGAAGAGCGGGTGAAGGAAATGCTTGAAAAGCACAAAGTTAACTTAGAGCTTCGTAAAAAGATCCTCCAGAAGAGCGACAACCCATCTTTGAACTACGACCTGATAAATCAAATCGAAAGACTCACTGAGTACAAACTAAAGGTAATTTGGATTTGGATTGCTGTCTTAAAATATGCATCCAATGAAATGTGCTGCTATGATCTGCTTCATTTCCTTTTGTTTTTAGGTCCTTGAATTTATACTTATAGATTGCACTAAACAGGAGGACATTGACAGACTACTTACTCGCATCAAAAATGATGTTTTGAACAAAGATATATTCCCCAACATTGAAAAGACTTTACCTAGGAGCTTCTATGATGTGGAGAAGGATCTCAACAAACTTGTGACGAACGATGACATTCCAGAGCATGGTGAGTAGTTCTTTGTTTTGTTTGTTCTTAAATTAGTTTCTTTAATTAATCATTTTCTAAAGTCTGAAATTTGCACCTAATAACAGGAATTGTGAGTCAAAACTTCCTCTTGCTTGAACTGAAGAATAGACATGATACACTGGACGATGACCAACTGAAGTTAATTCTTCAGTATCTTCACCGAATTGGTGTCATTATGTGGTACAAGGAAATCCCAGAATTGGCAGGTTTTGTGTTTGTGAAACCATCCTTCCTCATCTCACTGTTCAAGGTTCATGCATCAAACATTTAAACTAAAAGCATTAAATGTCTTTGAATGGCAATGCTAATCCGTTTATCACTTAAAATCCTTCATCACTTATTTCTTTTGATTCTGTCACAGACTATTGTGAGACATGACCTGGTCCAGGAACTGAACAAGATTTCCGCTGCACAGCTGAAGTCAGAAAACGCACTTGTAATACAAAAGAAAAGATGGATCAGAGACTATAAAGACAGAGCATCCTTAAGCAATGTGGCTATTAGGATCCTTGTGCGGACTGAGCTCCAGAAGAATTACGGCAAGACTGATGAAGAGCTAATTGAGGAGGTTGTTGGGTCCAAAAATAAGGAGGGGACTCTCCTTTCACTACTAAAACACTTTGATATATGTTTGTCAACCAAACATAACAGTCCTCTCAATCCAAATGCCAACGAATTCTGTCCAAACCAAGACTGGAAGGCCTCAAATCCAATTGTGTACGAGCCAGATGCTTGTCTTTTCCCAAATTACCTGTCAGACAATGAACAGGTAAAGCAAAAGTGGGAATCAGACAATACAGAAGACCTCAACATCCATGTATACCTCCTACCTGAGATCCCACATGGTTTCTTCCACAGGTGAATGCTTATGCTTGTCTTTTTTAGACAAAATTACTAAATACATGTCATTGAAGAACATTTTGGCTTTATATTTGCTGTAAGGGAATGTGCAAAGCATCATCAACCCAGATACAAGGATAATTTTCTCAAAAAGCTAATTTAAACTGATTTGATTGTGAATGTATTACCTTATATGACTAGTATGACTTGTAAAACTGTCGCTTTACAGGCTTGTCATCAGGACATGCTCCTTGTACTTTCCATACTGGATAGGAAAAGACCAGTGTATGCTGTGCAGTGGCAACAAACGTTTTCTGCTCAGAGAACACCGTGAGGAGGATCAGTTCATTGAGATCCGCTGCAAAGAAAGTGAACGTAAGACCCCTCTTTTTGATTACATTTGTACATTACTTTTTGCCGTTTTTGTGCACGTTTTTATTTTTATTATTCACTCATAATTAACTCAGCCTCAAGCCATTCTAGGTGTATACTTTCTTCTTTCAGTCAAACACAATACTAGAAGTTATATTAAATAATATCCAGTCTCTTCCCAGCTTTGTAATGGCTTTGAATAGTGTCCAGGTTTTTGAAGCTCCAAAAAGCGCATTCACCATAAAAGTAATCCATATGACTCCAGTGGGTTAATAAATGCCTTCAGAAGTGAAGCTATGGGTTTTTGTATGAAAAAACATCCGTATTTAAAACTTTATAAACTATAATCCCTGGCTTTCAGCAACGGCCATGTTCACATGACAGTCGGGTCATATGTCATACTTCGGGTCAGAGGTCACCCTTCTGCCTGAACTCGACTCTCTCGTCAACGCGTGTATGGCTGTTGCCGTTAATGTTTTGGGGTTAAAACGAGTTTTTTTATATTTTTGAAAGAAGTCTCTTATGGTCACAAAGGCTGCATTTATTTAATCAAATATACAGTAAAAACAGACTGAGCGCCAAACTAGAGGTGTGCAATCCTATAATAATTGCTTCATATAATAATCTAATAATAACAGCATGCAGAATTTTGTCACTGAAGATATGAAGCATCGTGTGTGGAAATTGAAAAAAAAAAATAGCCTATATAAAACGAGACAGAACTGGACCGGGACTGGGACTGGAAATTCCACGAAGACCTCTTTCTATGGGCTTTTATGGGAACGTTAATAAACGCAGGAGCAGTATTAAATATAACATATTTTTGGCTGAATTTTTGTTGGAGAGGTATTGAGAAAAGTGAGTGAACAAGTGGGACATTTTCCACAACTGTAGAAAGAGAGATGCCTGAGATATTACCAAAGTTGAAAAGGTCAGAGGAATATAATTGGAACGATCAGGAAAGAGCTAGGACCCGCGTTGATATTGGAAAAGCTTTCCAGCGCTGCAGGAACGTTAGAAAGCGAGAAGACCTGAAAATGGACGCAGAAGTTGCTTTGTTTCTGCTCGATACGCGAATAACATTGGTTTTGCTGTTCCACAGAACAATGATATGCTGTTTTTGTTGTTGTTGTTTAATCACAGCTGATGCATCCAATCTTGTGCAAGCTGTCTGATGCGACAGTTGTTGCCTATGTTGCATAGCATGTTTACTATTTTGGGGGCGGAGCAAAGAAGGGAGGGGTGTGTTTCTTTTGGTAGGGGTGTTTGTTTGGGTGTCAAACAGTGTTTCTCAGAAATTGTTTACTTCACCTTTTGCTGAATAAAAGTTTGGATTTATTTTTATACATGCATGTATGTGTGTGTTTTCTTTTCATAAAAAGTTGACAATGACTCTGATCATAGCAAATGTCACTGGATTATAATAGCTCACAAAAAAACAACCACTTTACAAGTAGCCTGCATTGTACTTATTGTTGGTAATGTACATTTTCTTAAAGCTGCAGTCCGTAACTTTTTTGGGTTAAAAATTATCCAAAATAAATTTGTGAGCAAGTACATAACCAGCCATTGTTCAAAACTATCTGCTTGCCTTAGCTCGATTCAAAACGGCAAGCTTGTAATAATGTTTTTAATTCCAGTGGTACTGGTGGATTTCCGCGGGAGATTCGAGCATGTCTTTGCGTCATTACGTCACATCTGTACACATAAAGAAGGAGTCTCGGCTAGTATAAGCTATATTGAGTCATTACGTCACATCTGTACACATAAAGAAGGAGTCTCGGCTAGTAGGCTTGAGGATGCTGGAGGTGGAGATGTATATCCTTTTCTCACAGCACTTGATATAATTAAACTTATCAATTTGATGGCGGATCCAGAAAGATTCAAACGACAATCACCAGTGACAACTAGAGATTCACCCGCTGTAAAATGCAAAAGACTTCGGAGTGGCTAGAGAAAAAAAGAGACTGCAACCGGACCCATGCGAAAACAAGGATAAATATCGGAAGGGCTTTTGAAAGGTGGCGTGAACTCCGTGTTTTGAAGGGGTTCAAAACGGACGCAGAGACAGCTTTTTTTCTGCTGGACAAGACATTTCAATGGTTCAATTATCTAACAGTAGCACACTTGTTCGTTTAATTCATACACTTACGGAGTACTGAACTACAGGTAGGCCTAATACACATTAAATGTAGTCACGCAATGCTGATGTTGGTAACATTAACAAGTTGAGAACAAAGTATAATTTGCACGGTTTGACGTGATATGATAAGCGATCGTTAGATTTAATCAGCGCGATTTACTGCAATGCTTTTTTTCCCTTAGTTGGTCAGAACAAAAGTGGATGTTACTTACTTGTTCAGATGACATTTTTACAACATAAATTCTTATGTCGGTCATACTTCCAAAAAGTAGAATCTGTGATTCCGAATGCCGACAGCTGCACATTCTCCTCAAAACATTGGATTCATCCGCGTTGTGCCGTGCCGAGGCACAACCCACGTAAAGTGGGTTAATAATTACGCGAATAACTGCAATTGCAGATTTCAAACAGAGATGGCGACAAAGAGGAAAAACTACGGACTGCAGCTTTAATGTTGTCACCACTAAGGTCTTCTTCATATAGACATTAAATCAAAATTATTATATTATACTTAAAAATGTTTCTTCCTGTAGTTGAAACCTCAGAAGACATCAAGAAAGCATGGAAAGTGATAAGGGAGATTATGAAACGACTGAACACACTGACTGAGCAGTGGCAAGGGTTGTACCAGACTGTCCACAGTCCCTGCAAGGCCCAGGATTGTGATAACTACTTTGAATGGAATGACTGGCAAGAATGGTTAGAAGATTCTGGAACAAACCCATTTAATGTGTAAGTTGTCATGTGATTCGTCCTCTGTTGTGTTCTCAACAGAGCATTTTTGCTTTCGTTGTATAGTCATATTCTTTTATCGAATTATATGTTTGGCTCATCTTGTTTTTAATCGTATTAAGATAAAATCAGGTGACTGAATACTGTGTTCTGTCTTATAGAGGACTAGAGGAGAATCAAACTTGCTGTGATGGTCACCAACGAAAGACAGAGTTGCTGTTCCCTAGAAGTAAATGCATTTATTTACAGAGAAATACAACACACACTTATTCTTCTGCCTTTTATAATTCTTTGTAATTACATTTTTGTATGCAGCTCCTGATGCAGACCTGAAGGGAGGACACATGAAATAATAATGCAACACAGAACAAATACAAAAAAATTGACTTCACTTGATGTAAAAGGTGTATGTGATTGGTAAATTAATTAATAATCAACTTGATTGTGAGCACAAAAAGTTTTATGTGATTGATAAATTAATTAATAATCAACCTGATTGTGAGCACAAAAAATACTGTCTTAATATTTTCGACACTGCAAATTGTAATTGCTCCAAACCAATGAACTAGTAGCCTACATCCTATTTAATATTGGTAATGTATATATATATATATATTTTAAATTTAGTCTAGAATGGACAATTAAACGTTATTTAGGTTAAAATACACAACATTTTTGTTGTCTAATCTACAGTAAGAAATTTGTTCAGTGGATATGCTGTCTTGTAGAAACATATTGTCGCCGCTAGGGGGTGATCCATTCATTTACGTTGCACATTTTGTTTGAGAACTATTTGTGGAGGGCTAAAGTCTTGCTGTTATGGAGTCCTGGCTTTATCATGTTAGAAATTCTCCAATAAAGTTATCCACCTACCAAAGTACCATGGAATTTACAAATTTTTGTATTGTCAGATCATTTGCTTCTAATTAGCTAAAAAAAAGGCCTTCAACTTCAACACAAGTAGCATTTTACACACACACACACACACACACACACATATATATAGCCTATATATATATATAGGCTATTTCTAGTTATATTTTTCACAAACTCTTTTTATCTGACATTCGTTTTTTTTTCATTTTCCATCTGTTCATTCATGTTCCGATGTTTACTTCATTATAAAGTAAATAGCATGCTGTCTCTGTCAGTTGATTTGTTTGAACGAGATTTACCGTATACTTATTATTATGACTGACGGTTCAGCTTGGAGCAATGGGGTTAGGCACGTGCGCGCGCGCAAGCACAAACACATTGTAAAGGCTTTCCGTTGACTTCTGTTATCTTTAAATTGAGACAGTGTTATTTTATATCCCCGGAACCTAAGCCTTGTTAAGACAATAAGTTCATTAGTTTTTTCCCCTCATTAGGACCGGCTGAACTACAAAATGTAGGCGATTTCAGGTTTTACTATTCTTGTGGAGACATGATCCCGACAATGTTTGAAAAATCGGATCAAAATCTAAACTATGATCAAAAAAAGTCTTTAAAAACGTATTTTTTCTCCATAGGCTGCTATGCAATCTAGAGGATAAAAGTTATTATATTCAAATGGAATTTCTCATTTAGGCTACTTGTTTGCATAATGCCCTTAACAAAACTGTGCTGTTCCATGTTGATGATGGTTAGGTTATTTGTGCCATAATAGCCTACTTTTTGGCACTTTTTGTTCATAACATGCAAGTCTTATGCTGTTAGGTAATAAACCACACCGCAGACTGACGACAGGTACATTATACTTGAACTTCTAAAAACTGACAACCCTCCATCGTTTTATTTAATATCAATTGTTGACCCTGCACGTTTTACATTCCACAACACGGAACATGTACGCGTGCGCCGGATGACCATTATTCCACAGAGATGCAATGCCTCATACGCGTGGCGCAGTGAGCGCACAGAATAGTTCCTTTGAGTTTGTCAAAGCCACGCGCCCGGCGCGCGAAGCCCGAGCAGGGGATTCATGCAGGGGGCGGGGTCTTTCTTTGGGAGCGTGCGGCCCGAAAGGGGGTGGAGGTGTGGCGCACGTGTAGAAAAGGGAGAGCAAGTTGCTTTCCCCTCAAATCATTCGCCGAACAGGTGTATCGCTTCTTGCGAGCCACGCGAAAGGCACGAGAGCGGCGCATTACTTGCAAACTCCTCACCTCATCTATTTATCTATTTATTTGACGCGACATGGAGGCAACTGTCATCGCCACGACGCAAATAACGCAAGACTCGTTTTATCAGCCGTTTTCGGAGACCCTCCTGCCTCATGCGAAGCAGGACATGGAGTGTAAAGTGCTGAAGAGACAGCGCTCGAGCAGCCCAGAGCTACTTAGGTGCAAGAGGAGACTGACCTTCAACGGACTCGGCTATACTATCCCTCAACAGCAGCCCATGGCGGTGGCCAGACGGAACGAGCGCGAAAGAAACCGCGTCAAGCAGGTGAACATGGGCTTCCAGACGCTTCGACAGCATGTGCCGAACGGAGCGGCGAACAAGAAGATGAGCAAAGTGGAGACGCTGCGCTCGGCAGTGGAGTACATCCGAGCGCTTCAGCAGCTGCTGGACGAGCACGACGCCGTGTCTGCTGTGTTGCAGTGCGGTGTCTCGTCTCCATCGGTCTCCAACGCGTACTCCGCGGGCACGGAGTCTCCTCGTTCTGCTTACTCCTCTGATGAAGGCAGCTACGAGCCTCTCAGCTCTGAGGAGCAAGAGTTGCTGGACTTCACCACATGGTTCGACAGATATGAATCAGGTACGACATTTTTTTTGGCGCTTTCAGACCCAACTTTTTTTTTTTACATACCCATGGGCCCCTCAGCCAAACCAGGGGCCTCCAATTTAAAACAAAATCATATGTGTTTTATATCTCTGACACTATTATAACAGCATATATACATAACATTAGAAAAGAGTTCTGTATGTTTTTCCTGATTACCTTCTGGTTGAAAACCCTGTGTTTTTATCCAACACATCTTATGAATGAATTGTATTCATTTTTGGTGTATGCCTGTGACTCATAACTGCTATTATTCTATTACAGGTGCTTCACTGACTACTAAAGATTGGTGCTGAATGGACAGCACAGGACCAGTACCGGTCGGAGATACGTTGTCTGCTGGTGCCTGTGAAGAATCCGAGTTCATTGACTGAGCACTGGACACACAGAGGGCCATTTCCAGCAATGTGCTCATGCACACAAATGCAACACTCGCACGCTTCCAAATGTTAGAACTGCACTGGATTTGAGGCGAGCGAGGATGTCTAAACTGCTGACTTTTGTCTTGTCATCCCATTCTGTATTCAACATTTTGCCCCGTTGATGCAATAATGTGTAAATGCGACTGAATGAGCCAGTTCGTTCCTTCCACATTGTACAAATAACGAGGTGACCAGTTGTAGATAAACGAATGAGGAAAAATAGTATCAGGTCCCATAAACGCCGTCTGTTAGGGAATACACTAACGTTACACTAGGCAGCCCACATGCAACCTGTATATTATAATATTTTGTTCTAGATATGTATGTGACAGCATTTTTGTACTGGATGAATAACTTTTGTATCAAAGTGTGCACTTGTGTGTTTTTCTACAAACTTGTGTATATGCAATTTTTTATAAGAGAAAACCTATTTTATGTAAAATAAAGACTTTATTTATTCAGATAATTGCCTTGTCTTTGTTTGAAATCATCAAACGCCAAATATGTTTAAAAAGCCTATATGGTTTTAAAAATAAATGTTTACTTGCAGAAATGCACTTTACACAAATGCAGATACTTAAGTAATATAAAAGTGCTGATTTATATGGAAATAACCACTACAGATACACTTTATCTTGATTTCAGATGTCTAAAAGAAGTGGCTTTGAGTATGTCAACATGGTTTAATTAATGGGAGTCATTTACTGTATAAGCACAAAGGAAAGTGACAGGCAGCTGTAGACGGGACACAACCTTGGGTTACAGTGTGTGAACAGTTAATTTTTAAGCAACAACAAAAAAGTTGGAGTGTAAAGCAATTTATAACCCCCGAATACCTTTGTGCTGTAACCAATGTGTCCGTACCAACCTATGGAGGCTGTGAATAGACGTCAACTGAAGACAAATGGTGATGAACTAACTGTCCTGGAGGGCATCCAAAATTTTCTACCAATGTCTGTTTTCCAGTTTTCTTTCAGTTTTCTTTCAGATATATACAGGAGTCTTATCAGCAAAGATAAGGAGACTCGTTTAGGTTTGTGCAGTTCAAACTCTCCCCATTTAAAATGGATCATGCAAAAAGCAGATCTATTCTTGCTTCAAATGACATCCTTCAAAGTGCTTCAAATGTGAGTCAACCAAGCACCAAGCTTCTGAGTGCATGAAAATTAGCATTTTCTATTGTGCGTGTGAAGTTTGGATGCACTGTAAGGCCTTTCGCCATCATCCAATCAGACAGACCCGTGCTGATTTTGAATGGCCTCTGATTTAAGTGACACAAAAGCACTTTTGTGTGAGGGCTACACCATATTCATCACATTGTGCCTTCAACATAAATCTGATTGGATGTCTTGGGCACTTTGATGTCGCTCCAGTGTACGAGTGGCATTGTGATGTCTAACTTCTATCTGTATTACCTATTTTCAGCACTTCGAGCAAGAGGTCCTTTTAATTTGTGAAGAGTGAATTCATAAAAAAAATTCTCTTCTCTGATAAAACACCAGCAGAATGATTGACACTACTTTACAGAGCCTCACACAAAAGCCTGATTTGGGTCCGGCGACAAATGAAAGGGGCCGGGTGTGGGCCTCATTCAGACTAATTTTAATCTTTCACTCCCTGTTTTTTTTTCATCTAGACACTTTTCTATAGTTTTGTCTAGTTCCCATTTTGGAGATCATAGGATAGTTCTCAAAGAAGGAATCCCAGTGTTATATGGAAAACAACAGCCTCAATTTTCCAACTATTTTACAAATCAGCAGCCAAATACTGAAATACAATATTTTAGTCTTGGATTTTATGCCTTACATTGGCATTAGTCTTCACAAAAAATGTCTTTTCTCCTCCGTTTTCTCTCTCTCCATTTGGATGTTTATCTCTCTCTCTCTCTCTCTCTCGCTCTCGCTCACGGCTCATGATTGTGTGCAGTCAGGTTGATTTGCCCTGTCTGGCTCTGCATGCTAAACGCTGTCTTAAATTGCCCAGCACCCTCCGCACACACTCCTTCTTGCACACACAATAGTCATCCGTCTCGGCCGAGGGCCAGACCCCCCTCCCACCCCCTCAAACTTCATCACACACACCCAAAACAAACCCTGCTCTGAGCACTGTACTCCTCAGTCCAGCGGCCGATCCAAAAGAGAGAGTGTGCTTTATTCCACACTCATGCTTTGACTCCCTTTTTGAGAAAATTTCATTAGTGCTGTTTAAAAATAGGAGATAAGAGAAAGATTAGTCCCATAATGTATGACGATTAAACAAACAGTGATTTGGTGAGCCCGTGTGTGGTCAGTGAGTATTCTCTGAGCGCTGGTGCTGGCCAGGGGCCTTGTAAGCAAATACGCT